CCGTCTCATTCCTTTAAAGCTTCGTAAATACTTAAGGAGGCTTTAAAATAGAACAACAAACAGGAAGGAAAGTTTAAAAGCATGGTTAAAATGGTTTCTCTCTCACAATACATTCCATTCCATTAGTAGAGTGCTCTCTTCTAATCAGATTTAAAGTGCTTTGATATTTTAAAATCGTCCACTAGCTCATGTGAGGTTGATCCAGTGTCCTGGTCTGATCTGTTCTTTACAGTGTAGCAGCAGGTAGCTTAGTGGTTAAGAGCGTAGTGCCAGTAACCGGAAGGTCGCTGGTTCTAATCCCTGAGCCGACTAGGTGAAAAATATGTCGATGTGCCCTTGAGCAAGGCACTTAACTCTAATTGCTCCTGTAAGTCGCTCTGGATAAGAGTGTCTGCAAAATGACTAAAATGTAAGTGTAGCTTCATAGCACAATATTGTCTCTATAAGCTGTCAGTCTTGACTTGGTTGGGCCTCTGGTGGGCTAAGTTAAATAATGCCTTGTTCTGTAACTATGCACAAATGTTTTCCTACATTAATTCCACATCAACAAGTACGTTCAAAACCATAGAAAGAGAGTCTCTCTGATTCTAAGTACGTCTAAGTAAAAATGTTTTGGGACCTCAGAGGGTGTGGATAATGTGTTTTTATGGATGCTTGCGGTGGTGGTGGTTGTATTGGCATACTTGAGGCCCTAGTTATAGCCAGTCTCTCATTTTTAGATAGTGTACCACTCCTTTATATAGTGTCCCTCTCCTTTAGATAGTGTACCACTCCTTTAGATAGTGTCCCTCTCCTTTAGATAGTGTCCCTCTCCTTTAGATAGTGTCCCTCCTTTAGATAGTGTCCCTCTCCTTTAGATAGTGTCCCTCTCCTTTAGATAGTGTCCCTCTCCTTTAGATAGTGTCCCTCTCCTTTAGATAGTGTCCCTCTCCTTTAGATAGTGTCCCTCTCCTTTAGATAGTGTCCCTCTCCTTTAGATAGTGTCCCTCTCCTTTAGATAGTGCCCTCCATTAGATAGTGCCCCTTCTCCTTTAGATAGTGTCCCTCACCTTTAGATAGTGTCCCCTCTCCTTTAGATAGTGTCCCTCTCCTTTAGATAGTGTCCCCCTCCTTTAGATAGTGTCCCTCTCCTTTAGATAGTGTCCCTCTCCTTTAGATAGTGTCCCTCTCCTTTAGATAGCGTACTTCTCCTGCATCTCGCTCTTTGTCACACAAAGCAAATAATGACATACTAGCATTTTATTACAACATTACAATGGTATTTAGTTGTTTAATTGTTTGTGTTTTATTCAATAAGCCCTGTCTCTTGCTCAATACACCCTGTCTCTTCGATGCATTTCTCCTGCCGCATTTTGATCACACCAACCAAAAAACAACATTACTAGATGGCGTTTTATTACTCGAATATTGGCAAACGATATTCATGTGCTTATGACTAATCGGCTACAATGTGTTGATTCATAGTGGCCTGACAAGACAAGGGTGTGATGGTCACGCATTAGTAATGTGTCACACAGCTACTCTGGAAATAACCATCTGGTTTAGCCCTCAGGGGGCCATCAGTACAGTAGGCTCACAAAACCACACAACCAAGCAGGAAAACGCCTTTAACTCTGCAAAACTGAAGTAATTACTGCAGTATACACATATAGAGGATTTATGTTCTGTATCAGATCACCATGAAGGCTTGTTTCAACTGTGACCACAACTTTGTAATGAACGTAATCAAATCACCAAGACAATATATCTCAACTGAATAAAATCTACTAAACTCTTATACATAAATTACATTGTCATCTGAATGATCTAGATTCTAGAGGTGGTGAAGTGCTGTCAGTTAAAATAAAAGGAACTCTCACTTTATTTTGGAGCATTTTTATAAATGATTACAAACACAGTGGTGCTTAAATTGTTGTTTTAGAAAAATAAGAACAACACGATGTGAGAACACTTAACCTTAACACATAAGACTAACAAGATGTGAGAACACTTAACCTTAACACATAAGACTAACAAGATGTGAGAACACTTAACCTTAACACATAAGACTAACAAGATGTGAGAACACTTAACCTTAACACATAAGACTAACAAGATGTGAGAACACTTAACCTTAACACATAAGACTAACAAGATGTGAGAACACTTAACCTTAACACATAAGACTAACAAGATGTAAGAACACTTAACCTTAACAAACAAGACTAACAAGATGTGAGAACACTTAACCTTAACAAACAAGAACAACAAGATGTGAGAACACAACACATAAGAACAGGGGACACTTAACAAATATAATCCATTGTACTCATTTAAAACTCATCTGAAATACCATATGGACAATAAGTGTACTCACAGTACATGTAGTACAATACAATATAACCAGGAAGGAAAATGTCTTAAAGTGTAAAACTGCAGTATTTACATTTAGAGGATGTATGTCCTGTATCGGATCACCATGATGGCTTGTTTTAACTATAACCACAATTTTGCAATTAACGTTATCACATCACTAACTGAATACGTGTCATTCGGACATAAATTATACTGTAATTTGGTATCCCAAAGAAATATACTTTATTTAATTTATTTTGGAGTCAACAACAAACAAAATAAGAAGTGTTGAACAGTGCTATAGATGTTCATATTCAGGCATCATGCTGTATATGTTATAGAGAATATATCGGACGACTAGGAAATTACCATAATTAGAATGTTTTAATACAATATAATTAAATTGTATTAATGTAAAACTCATCTGAGTACACATAGTACGGGCTAACACTGCAGACACACTGTATACAAGGTAGAGTGAGACAACAAATACCAGCTGTGAATATGAAATAGTTAATGTGTGTTTAAGTAGTGTGTATAGGACAAGTATTCATCATATGTAATGCTACAAGTGCTACATTCATTCAATATACTTCATTATTTGCTTTCTTTACTTGACATTAAAACATAACCCACAAAACCCCTTTCCGTTAGATGGTCTAATTGGCCTTCAATATCCACAGCCAACTCCTCTTCAAAATGTTCCTTGTCTCAAATCAATACATAATTATACTTTTTTTTTTACATTTTTACATTTAAGTCATTTAGCAGACGCTCTTATCCAGAGCGACTTACAGTTAGTGAGTTCAGACATTTGTAATACTTCAGTTCTCATAAATTCATCTTCCATCTCCTCACTCAACAAGAGTCCCCATGGTTCTTAGCAAATACCAAAAACCAAAATAACACATTTTATTAATAGCAAATGTGAGGACATCCAACGACAATAAAAACCACGACTGCAAAAACACACTGACTTCTTTTATCCGTATCAGCATGAGTGAATAAGAAGAATGCTACATGTTTTTCCTACAATCTCCCTGGTGTGAGGCAGTCAACCATCCCTGAAACCCTCCGTCCCTCCCTCCCTCCCATCCCCCCTCCCTCCCTCCCTCTGTCCCTCCCTCCCATCCCCCCCCTCCCTCCCTCCCTCCCTCCCCCTCCCTCCCTCCCTCCCTCCCTCCCTCCCTCCCTCCCGCAGTCAACCACCCCCTGGAACCCTCCGTCCCTCCCTCCCATCCCCCCTCCCTCCCTCCCTCCCTCCGTCCCTCCCATCCCCCCTCCCTCCCTCCCTCCCTCCCTCCCTCCCGCAGTCAACCACCCCCTGAAACCCTCGTCCCTCCCTCCCATCCCCCCTCCCTCCGTCCCTCCCTCCCTCCCATCCCCCCTCCCTCCCTCCCCTGCTCCCTCCCACAATCTGTTGATTTACTTTAACATCAATAGTAATACTGTTGATTTTTAAAGAAGTATCTTGTAACAATACTGTCTGTTTTCCTATCAGTATCTGAAAGTATCTGAGTATCCCTCTTGATAGATGGCGTCCAGCCCAGACATGGGTCCAAATGCATGTGTATTTGAGTATTTCTTATTTAAATACTATTTTCTGTGTATTTTAGTATTTTCAAATACAAAGCTCAAAACAAGTACTTTTATTTCAGTATTTGAATGGTTATTTCTAAAAACCAAATAGTGGCCCAAATTGTATTTGAAAGTATTTAAAAATACTATTTTCAAATACCTGGGTGGGTTTAACGCATGGGAGTATATTTCAGTTAGTGTATTTGAGTATTTTCAAATGTTTTCCATGTGCATTTCCAAATACATTGCAATATTCAACTACTTGTTTTTTAATAAAAAGTTTATCTGAAATATATTGAAAAGTAATTGAAATACCTGAAATAGTATTTAAACCCAGGTCTGGTCCAGCCAACTAAGTCAATTACTCAATTACCCAGGGTGCCTGTGGGACACAGGGTGAACAAAGCCAAGTACCCAAAACACGCGCATTCACTCCCAGTCATTATCGGGAAACAATTTGAGGTCATAGGTCAAATCTATGCTACACGACCCTGGGAGAGAGAGAGAGAGAGAGAGAGAGAGAGAGAGAGAGCGAGATAGAGAAAAGGGGAAGAGATAAGCAGGAGGAAAACTAAATTTTTCCCCCCTCTCTCGCGGGTCTCTCTCTCTCTCCCCTTCCCATCTCCTTCTCCCCGCTCTCTCCCCCTCTCTCTCCTCCCTTTTTCCTCCTTCCCCCTCTCCTTTTTATTCTTTCTTCCCAGTTTCCCCTTTTTTTATTTTCTTCCCCAATTTAAACTCCTCTGGGGGGGAATTAGTGTTTTTAGTCCTTTTTGGTTTCTTCCTTCAAAATTATTTGGTCCATTCCAGGGGTGCACCGGGTCCTTAAATAAATTCACAAAAAACTTGGCTATTTTAATCCCTTGAATTTAAAAAAGTTTCTTAAATGATGGTAAATAAAAGTCCTAGGTTAAACCAAACATCCATCCACTAAACACACAAATTTCCCAATTCTTAAAGGGTAACATTTTTATTTTTCCAAACTATTTTACTTCCCCTAAAATTTCATAAAGTTTTTATGTTCGTCAAAGGGTCATCAAACGAAACAGTTTACTTTGGTATGCTGTACGCGAGTGGCAATGCCTGTATTATTAGACGACCGTGCAGCGGTAGTTGGGGTCGGTGGCCACACTGGAGCCGTCTGTCTTGACCACAGTGGTCTTGGAGGAGTTCTGCTGCGAGCTCCTCAACTCCTTCCTGTGACAGAGACGCTCGCGGTAGTTCTGAGCGAAGATGAGCAGCATCAGAGGGTTGATGCAGCTGTGGGAGTAACTCAGACAGATGCTGATGTTGTAGACATAGACAAAGGTGTTGGTTGGCCTGTTGTTGCTCAAGTTAATCACCTGGATCACGTGATACGGGCTCCAGCACACCAGGAAGAGAGCGATGACCATCACCACGGTCTTGGTGGCGCGCTTCGCCCAGACAGACTGTTTACGCTTGACTCGGCGGATGGATCTGAAGACGTGGAAGAGGGTGAGGGAGTAGAAGGTGGAGATGATGACGAGAGGGAGGATGAAGCCCAGGATGGACTGGTAGAGAGTGTACCAGTACATGTCCTCAGGCCCGTCCAGGAGCATCATGCACATCTGCAGGTCGCGCTTCCTCACCACCACGGCGTAGATCATGACGGGCACGGTGAGCAGGATGCTGCCGACCCACACCAGGACGTTGATGACGATGGTCCACTGGATGGTCCGCTTCTCTGAGGCGGGGTGGACGATGGCAATGTATCTGGAAACAAGGAGACACATCAGTTAGAGACCAAGGGTTATCAAATCAAATCAAATTTGATTTGCCACATGCGCCGAATACAACAGGTGTAGACATTACAGTGAAATGCTTACTGACAAGCCCTTAACCATCAATGCAGTAAAAAAAAAAAAGGAAAAAAAAAAAAAAAAAAGCAAATATTTAAAGAGTAAAATAAAAGAAGAGTAGGGAGGTTATATACAGAGGGAAGAGGTCAGGGGTCGGAGGTCAGGGGTTTAGGGTTAGGTTATGTACCTGGGCTGTGTCCAAACTGACACCCTATTCCCTACATAGTGCACTATTTTTGACCAGAGCCCTATGGACCCCTAGCCAAAAGTAGTGCACTATGTAGGGAATAGGGGTGCCATTTCAGCTGCAGGCCAGGTACATAAGCTAACCCTAAACCCCAGCCTGGCCTCAAAGCCACACAAAACACACTATAAGTATTTCTGAGCACCTCCAAGGTGTACGCTGTATATACAAAAGTATTTGGACACCCCATTCAAATTAGTGGATTCGGCTATTTCAGCCACACCCGTTGCTGACAGGTGTATAAAATCGAGCACACAGCCATGCAATCTCCATGGACAAACGTTGGCGGTAGAATGGCCCGTACTGAAGAGCTCAGTGACTTTCAACGTGGCACCGTCATAGGATGCCACCTTCCCAAAAAGTCAGTTCATCAAATACTGCCCCTCTAGAGCTGCCCCGGGTCAACTGCAAGTGCCTTTATTGTGAAGTGGAAATGTCTAGGAGCAACAACGGCTCAGCCGCGAAGTGGTAGGCCACACAAGCTCACAGAACGGGACCGCTGAGAGCTGAAGCGCACAGCGCAAAAAAAAATCATCTGATCTCGGTTGCAACACTCACTACCGAGTTCCAAACTGCCTCTGGAAGCAACGTCAGCACAATAACAGCCGCAAGCCTAAGATCACCATGCGCAATGCCAAGCGTCAGCTGGAGTGGTGTAAAGCTCGACGCCATTGGACTTTGGAGCAGTGGATACGCGTTCTCTGATGATTCACGCTTCACCATCTGGCAGTCCAACCGACGAATTTGGGTTTGGCGTATGCCAGGAGAACGCTACCTGCCCAAATGCATAGTTCCAACTGTACAATTTGGTGGAGGAGGAATAATGGTGTTGGGCTGTTTTTCATGGTTTGGGCTAGGCCCTTTAGTTCCATTGAAGGGAAATCTTAAAGCTGCAGCATACAATGACATTCTAGACGATTCTGTGCTTCCAACTTTGTGGCAACAGTTTGGGGAAGGCCCTTTCCTGTTTCAGCATGTCCCTGTCTTCGTACACACGACGTGTCTGCGATATCTGAACGTGTAAAACCAGAACAGAGATTTGAATCAGCCAAAACAAGTCAAGAATGTGAAAGTCTAGAGTAGGATGGAGACACATAGGGAGTAGGATGTGTCCCAAACAGCACCCTATTCCCTATATAGTGCACTACTTTAGACCAGAGAATGGCACCCTATTCCCTATATAGTGCACTACTTTAGACCAGGGCCCATACCAGGGAACAGGGTGGCTATTGCTTGACACATAACATTTACATCATTTAGAAGACGCTCTTATCCAGAGCGACTTACAAATTGGACGATATCTCCACAGGGATCATTCAGGAGACTCCATTGTGAGGCAGTTTTTATTTTTTTTCCACTAACACCAATCACTTTCCTCCAGTCCAGTCTAGTCCAGACAGAGGCATGTGAACGTACAGACCAACAACAACAAAAAAACACACTAACTAAAGCGTATTTGACTAATGGTATTTGTCAGAAAAGCAAACAGTAATGAATTAACCTGGAATAAAACGCTCTGTTTGAATGCCGCCTATTCATACAGTGTATAGTAACATTTCTGAGAGCGGTCAGGCTCTAATCTTGATGTGACATTAAATAAATCTAATAATGTCGTGTGTTGATCAGTTGGTAAGAGAATGGCTGCATCCAAAAGCACCCTTATTCTCTATGTAGCGCACTACTTTTGACAAGGGCTCCATCGGGCTCTGGTCAAAAGTAGTGCGCTATGAAGGGAATTTGGTGCCATTTGGAATGTACTCCGTGGCGCTGGCATGTGCCCAAGGTCATGGGTTCAATTCCTTCAAGGATCACACACACACACACACACACTAAGAAATGAACGCACTCACTGCACTGTGGGTTGCTTGCTATGTCTTTCATGATACGACTGAATACATCCAAGTCAGGCCAAGGGATGGAGATATCACTGTAGAGATGTCTTCATATGGACCATGGAGATATCACTGTAGAGATGTCTTCATATGGACCATGGAGATATCACTGTAGAGATGTCTTCATACGGACCATGGAGATATCACTGTAGAGATGTCTTCATATGGACCATGGAGATATCACTGTAGATATGTCTTCATACGGACCATGGAGATATCACTGTAGAGATGTCTTCATACGGACCATGGAGATATCACTGTAGAGATGTCTTCATACGGACCATGGAGATATCACTGTAGAGATGTCTTCATACGGACCATGGAGATATCACTGTAGAGATGTCTTCATATGGACCATGGAGATATCACTGTAGAGATGTCTTCATATGGACCATGGAGATATCACTGTAGATATGTCTTCATATGGACCATGGAGATATCACTGTAGAGATGTCTTCATATGGACCATGGAGATATCACTGTAGAGATGTCTTCATATGGACCATGGAGATATCACTGTAGAGATGTCTTCATACGGACCATGGAGATATCACTGTAGAGATGTCTTCATACGGACCATGGAGATATCACTGTATGTACCATCTCCTGGTACAGTCTGTATGTACCATCTCCTGGTACAGTCTGTATGTTACATCTCCTGGTACAGTCTGTATGTACCATCTCCTGGTACAGTCTGTACACTGAGTGCTTGGCCTAATCGATATGTACAGAACAGGCCAGACAGATGAGATGCAGTAAGACCCTGTCATGTTCCAGTAAGACCCTCCAGTAAGACCCTGCCATGTTCCAGTAAGACCCTCCAGTAAGACCCTGTCATGTTCCAGTAAGACCCTCCAGTAAGACCCTGCCATGTTCCAGTAAGACCCTCCAGTAAGACCCTCCAGTAAGACCCTCCAGAAAGACCCTCCAGTAAGACCCTTTCATGTTCCAGTAAGACCCTCCAGTAAGACCGTGTCATGTTCCAGTAAGACCCTCTAGTAAGACCCTAGAGTAAGACCCTCCAGTAAGACCCTCCAGAAAGACCCTCCAGTAAGACCCTTTCATGTTCCAGTAAGACCCTCCAGTAAGACCCTGTCATGTTCCAGTAAGACCCTCCAGTAAGACCCTGCCATGTTCCAGTAAGACCCTGTCATGTTCCAGTAAGACCCTGTCATGTTCCAGTAAGACCCTGTCATGTTCCAGTAAGACCCTCCAGTAAGACCTTGTCATGTTCCAGTAAGACCCTCCAGTAAGACCCTGTCATGTCCCAGTAAGACCCTCCAGTAAGACCCTGCCATGTTCCAGTAAGACCCTGTCATGTTCCAGTAAGACCCTCCAGTAAGACCCTCCAGTAAGACCCTCCAGTAAGACCCTGTCATGTTCCAGTAAGACGCTCCAGTAAGACCCTGTCATGTTCCAGTAAGACCCTCCAGTGATCCCTGTCATGTTCCAGTAAGACACTTTTTTATGTTCCAGTAAGACCCTCCAGTAAGTCCCTCCAGTAAGACCCTGTCATGTTCCAGTAAGACACTCCAGTAAGACCCTGTCATGTTCCAATAAGACCCTCCAGTAAGAGACTCCAGTAAGACCCTCCAGTAAGACCTCTCTTCCCTCTGCTCAATCCTTCTCCCTCCAATCTCCTGATTCTGCCTCCTCAACCCTCCTCTCCTCCCTTTCTGCATCCTTTGACTCTCTGTGTCCCCTATCCTCCCGGCCGGCTCGGTCCTCCCCTCCAGCTCCGTGGCTTGATGACTCACTGCGAGCTCACAGAACAGAGCTCCGGGCAGCGGAGCGGAAATGGAAGAAAACTAAACTCCCTGCCGACCTAGCATCTTTTCACTCCCTCCTCTCTACATTTTCTTCATCTGTTTCTGCTGCGAAGGCCACCTTCTACCACTCTAAATTCCAAGCATCTGCCTCTAAACCCTAGGAAGCTCTTTGCCACATTTTCCTCCCTCCTGAATCCCCCCCCCCCCCCCCCCCCCCCCCCCCTCTCTCTGTGGATGACTTCGTCAACCACTTTGAAAAGAAGGTTGACGACATCCGATCCTCGTTTGTTAAGTCTAATGACACTGCTGGTCCTGCTCACACTGCCCTACCCTATGCTTTGACTTCTTTCTCCCCTCTCTCTCCAGATAAAATCCTGCGACTTGTGACTGCAGGCCGCCCAACAACCTGCCCGCTTGACCCCATCCCCTCCTCCCTTCTCCAGACCATCTCCGGTGACCTTCTCCCCTACCTCACCTCGCTGATCAACTCATCCTTGACCGCTGGCCATGTCCCTTCCGTCTTCAAGAGAGCGAGAGTTGCTCCCCTTCTCAAAAAACCAACACTCGACCCCACTGATGTCAACAACTACAGACCAGTATCCCTTCATTCTTTTCTTTCCAAAAATATTGAGCGTGCCGTCTTTAGCCAACTCTCTTGCTATCTCTCTCAGAATGACCTTCTTGATCCAAACCAATCAGGTTTCAGGACTGGTCATTCAACTGAGACTGCTCTTCTCTGTGTCACGGAGACTCTCCGCACTGCTAAAGCTAACTCTCTCTCCTCTGCTCTTGTCCTTCTAGACCTGTCTGCTGCCTTTGATACTGTGAACCATCAGATCCTCCTCTCCACCCTCTCCGAGCTGGGCATCTCCGGCGCGGCTCACTCCTGGATTGCGTCCTACCTGACCGGTCGCTCCTACCAAGTGGCGTGGCGAGAAGCTGTCTCCGCACCACGTGCTCTCACCACTGGTGTCCCCCAAGGCTCAGTTCTAGGCCCTCTCCTTTTCTCCCTATACACCAAGTCACTTGGCTCTGTCATATCCTCACATTGGTCTCTCCTATCATTGCTACGCTGACGATACACAACTAATCTTCTCCTTTCCCCCTTCTGATAACCAGGTGGCGAATCGCATCTCTACATATCAGTATGGATGACGGATCACCACCTCAAGCTGAACCCTGGCAAGACGGAGCTGCTCTTCCTCCCGGGGAAGGACTGCCCGTTCCATGATCTCGCCATCACGGTTGACAACTCCGCTGTGTCCTCCTCCCAGAGTGCGAAGAGCCTAGGCGTGACCCTGGACAACACCCTGTCGTTCTCCGCCAACATCAAGGCGGTGACCCGCTCCTGCAGGTTCATGCTCTACAACATTCGGAGAGTACGACCCTGCCTTACACAGGAAGCGGCACAGGTCCTAATCCAGGCACTTGTCATCTCCCGTCTGGACTACTGCAACTCGCTGTTGGCTGGCCTCCCTGCCTGTGCCATTAAACCCCTACAACTCATCCAGAATGCCGCAGCCCGTCTGGTGTTCAACCTTCCCAAGTTCTCTCACGTCACCCCCCCTCCTCCGCACACTCCACTGGCTTCCAGTTGAAGCTCGCATCCGCTACAAGACCATGGTGCTTGCCTATGGAGCAGTGAGGGGAACGGCACCTCTGTACCTTCAGGCTCTGATCAGTCCCTACACCCAAATGAGGGCATTGCGCTCATCCACCTCTGGCCTGCTGGCTCCCCTTCCTCTGCGGAAGCATAGTTCCCGCTCAGCCCAGTCAAAACTGTTCGCTGCTCTGGCACCCCAATGGTGGAACAAGCTCCCTCACGACGCCAGGACAGCGGAGTCACTCACCACCTTCCGGAGACATTTGAAACCCCACCTCTTTAAGGAATACCTGGGATAGGATAAAGGAATCCTTCTAACCCCCCCCCCCCCCCCCCCCCAATTGTAAAGTGGTTATCCCACTGGCTATAGGGTGAACGCACCAATTTGTGAGTCGCTCTGGCTAAGAGTGTCTGCTAAATGACGTTAATGTGCCCTTGAGCAAGGCACTTAACCCTAATTGCTCCTGTAAGTCGCTCTGGATAAGAGCGTCTGCTAAATGACTAAAATGTAAATGTAATGTCATGTTCCAGTAAGACCCTGTCATGTTCCAGTAAGACCCTGCCATGTTCCAGTAAGACGCTGTCATGTTTCAGTAAGACCCTCCAGTAAGACCCTGTCTTGATCCAGTAAGACCCTGTCATGTTCCAGTAAGAACCTATCATATTCCAGTAAGACCCTGTCATGTTCCAGTAAGACACTCCAGTAAGACCCTGTCATGTTCCAATAAGACCCTCCAGTAAGAGACAAGAGTAAGACCCTCCAGTAAGACCCTGTCATGTTCCAGTAAGACCCTGCCATGTTCCAGTAAGACCCTCCAGTAAGACCCTGTCATGTTCCAGTAAGAACCTATCATATTCCAGTAAGACCCTGTCATGTTCCAGTAAGACCCTCCAGTAAGACCATGTCATGTTCCAGTAAGACCCTCCAGTAAGACCATGTCATGTTCCAGTAAGACCCTCCAGTAAGACCCTGTCATGTTCCAGTAAGACCCTGTCATGTTCCAGTAAGACCCTGTCATGTTCCAGTAAGACCCTCCAGTAAGACCCTGTCTTGATCCAGTAAGACCCTGTCATGTTCCAGTAAGACCCTCCAGTAAGACCCTGTCATGTTCCAGTAAGACCCTCCAGTAAGACCCTCCAGTAAGACCTTGCCATGTTCCAGTAAGACCCTGTCATGTTCCAGTAAGACCCTCCAGTAAGACCCTGTCTTGATCCAGTAAGACCCTCCAGTAAGACCCTCCAGTAAGATCCTCCAGTAAGACC